CAAAACAAGCATAACGTTGTCTTTGAGGCGTTTTAGTTTGAAAATTCCTTTTTTACCCCTCAGTTTCCTTGGCAAAGGCTGATATGCTCTCAGAACAAGCTATCATTTGAAGAGTCAAACAAAATCTAAATATAGATTTCATATGAACACAGAACACCCATGTACAAGGTCTCCAAATCATTTGGACGAGAAGGTAGCAAACAGTTTGAAGATTCCAATTATCTTTTTTTTTTATGATTTATAACATCCTACTTGAATACTGGATATTTTGACAAGATTTGTTCCTCAAAGTTTTCTAACAAAAACTACATGCTATAATTAAGAAATTCAGTTACCATAAAATTTTTTGAGTGGAATTACCGTTGACTTTTTTTGTGATATTACCATTTGATGTTATTCAAATATATTGTTTAAATATTGGGATTGTATTAGACAGTACTAGTGTGCGCCCCGTGCAAAACACGACCTTCATTCTTTTTATTTCCGTTACAGTAATTCTGTATTTAAATACAGATTTCTGCAAGTGCTACAATAACTTTTTAAAAATGCTACAGTGTTTCACCTTGGCTACGGTGATAATACTACAATAATGTTTTTAGCCATTACTATGCCCGCATATTCTACAGTAATAATGCTACATCAATTTACTGTAGCATGAATTGTGAATCTTGGATCCACATGTATGTGCTACAGTAATATTGCTATTGTAAATTACTGTACTATTTACTATAGTATGAATAGTAAATTTTGAATCCTCTTAATAATATTATAGAGGAATAGATTGGGAAAAGTTTAGTGCAATATACGTGTCAAAATTCCGATAAAAGAATATAAGCCCACAGCCCATCTGTACTCCAACAAAACAACTTGCCAACTCTTCAAATACTCTAAATGAACAAACGGGCCCATGGACTGATGTCGACACGTGCCCACTATTTATTCGCCGTCCGATCAACTATGAAACTCATCTCAACCGTACAACGAATCCTCTTTGCCAACAACGACGACTCTATCCTAATCCGCCGCCTAATCACTAAAATTATAAAGACCATACAAAAAGCAGCTAATCAAAGTACAAGAAAATGTGGGGCTGTGACAATTCAATAAAGTTTGTGGTGGGCCTTCGCATAAAATGTTTTTTTTGGCCGCCCCTCATCTTTTATGACGACAACGTCAAATTTTAGGGATGATGGTCTCAATCCAAGCCTTTGACATTTTGATTGCAAATTGTTGAATATAGGTCTACAATAATGGATAGTCTACTATAATCATATCGATTTGTTAAATATGGTTAATGAATTGTACCATAAAGATTTGTATAACTTGGTCTTATAAAACTATTTTAAAAATAAAATAACCAGTATAAATAATAAAAATTGAGCAATGACAATTTCTTGTGTATAAAAAGCAATTATTTTAATGATTAAATATCAAATACATATGTTGTAATCAAATTGAATGAGTGGGATAATGTTACGATCAATAAATAGATTGGATACATGTCTTGTTTCTAATTCAGTAGGAATAAATTAATCAATTAAGGCTTTACTGATTGTATATATATATCAAATATTAAGGGTTAAAAGTTTAAAATTAACTTGTGAGTGTCACGTGGAAGATTGACGGAAGTCTCATGTCAGCATTCCATAATGCATTAATGTGTAAATTTTAGAAACTTTGCGATAGATAAGTATCGTAAAAACAAGCCAGGGTATATAAGTGAAAAATAGGAGAAGCTATAAGGTGTTTAAGTGCTAATTCGCTGAATTTAAAATCTAAAAAGGTGAAAAAATAGGCGAGCAAATTCTGTGGTGAATTTGCAATAAAAAGAAAAAGCGGCAACCTAATGCAAAATTTCGAGTCGGAAAGAGCAGGAGGAGGTTCCTTCTTAGCGGACACTTGGAATTAGCTCCTTTGTTTTGTGTTCATCTAAATTTGTCTCTTTTCCATTTTTTTTTCCATTTCTAGGGTTTCTTTTGATTTCGAGGAGCTGAAAGCTCTAGGGTTTCTTGTTGATCTCGTTGGAGAGAAATCGTAATCGAAGAAGATGTCGTCGTCATCGGCGACGGTTCGCGTAGACAAGGCGACCAGCGATCTCTTGATCGGCCCGGATTGGACGATGAACATGGAAATCTGCGACTCGATTAACACTGGTCACTGGTGATTACTTTTTCCAACGATTATATTTGAATTATTGATTAGAAAGCTTTAATTTTGAGTGGTTTTGGTTCATAAATATGTTTATATTCGTTGATGGAGCAAGGGTTTCTTGTTTCTAGGGTTTCCTAGTAGTTTATGGATGTGTGATATTTTTTTAATATTAATTTTATGGGTTAGGATGGCTTGTAATCTGTTGAATTGTAGTTATGGCTGATTTATTGTAGCTTTCGAGGAGGAATTGAGGTGAAGGGTCCATTTTAAGTGTTTGTGTATTATTACTTCAATAGTGTCTATACTAATTGATTAAGAGTGTGTTCAAGATTATTGTTAGACTATGAAACTATAACCCTCAACCCTCACCACAACTTCAGAGTTTTGGTTTGGTTTGGTCTAATGGTTAGAGGCTTTAAGAATTATTTACTTAGTATTTGTAGAATCAAGTGTGTTTCTTTCCTGGGAAAGATTGTTACTATAACTGGGTTATCTTCCTTAATTATCTTCTATTTTTAAATACCAACAAAAGCTATCTTTAATTTTGTTATTGAGTGTTGTTTAATTTGTGGCATCCGCTTGTTGTTTATCTATGAAATAAAAGAACAAGAAAATAAAAATCGCATGCAGACACTCGAGAACATGTGCGAATGTCCTCTTGTCATCCTAGATTTTGGAGAATTGTCGTCTTTAGAGTATTTGTCGGAATATGTCATTTGTGTCTATGCTTGTTATGCATCTGTCAGTAGTTCATGTCACAACCTTATCCAATAAGTACGATGCACGGAGACAGGCACAACACCGGGCCACATCAGGGACATACAAAAACACCATGACACAGGAACAACACGACATGACACACTAGAGATACATGTAAAAAAGAGGTATTTTGTCCAAGTTATGTGTCAGACACCTGTCCAACAGTACACAGCTTCATATTTCAGTTTCTGTGCTATCTAGTCAACTAGATTAAGCTATCTTTGAGGACTCATCCAATTAAGATCCAACCTATTTAGGCTGTGTTTTGCAAGAAAAATTAGGCTGAGCAGCTGAAGTTAAGTCCTAACTCTAGTTAACTCTTTCCAAACATGCAAAATCTAACAATGAGGATGTAGAGACTCAAGAGTATATTGGTATTTTCTGAAATTATTTATCAAACTAAGAGTACTTGGAGTTATATGATAAATCTCCTTTAATTTGGTGTAATTTTCCAAATTATTGAGGGGGCACGAGGCCCCATTCTACCCTTCTTGTAAAAGAAGCATAATTTTTCCACCTTAACTCTCTAACCAAAAGAGGCTTAATATGGTCTGATTAATTAGTAAAGAGGTTATTTATGGATATAATGGACTCCTTTAGATTAAATTCTATTTTTTGGTTAAGTTTAATTAGGATTCATCTAGATTAAGTTTTTTGTATTACTTGTCTATTTGTCTAGGGCCATTGGATCTTTGCATGCTCATGCAGTCTGCTAAACATATTAATAATCTTCAAGTGGCATCTCCAAGATTTCACCAGACGTGGAAAGTGCCAAAATTTACATAAATAAATTATAGTCTTGATCAAAATAGAAAGTCTGAAAATTTATTTTGCTCCAAGTATTTGCTGGAAATATTTTATGGAAAGTAATGTAGTTTGTAAATGGAGCTCTAACTAATAAAAAATCTAGATCCAGATTTTTGGAGATACCAGGTTTTGAAACCATTAATCAAAATTACCACCTCAAGATATTGCATTATTAAGCTATAAAGCATATTAAAATTCTGTATAAATCCTATAAAGTTCTCTAATACTGGTTTGTTTTATGTGGTCTTAACATTCTTACAAGTTAGCAACAAACTTTTAAGTTGATCTTCATAAAAGGAGGCCCACTTATCATATTGCTTGTTGACTGCTGGCTCGAGTGATCTGCTTTCATGGGGTTATGCCCTCTAGCTTTGTACATAAACTGTGTAATGAATTAGCTTTATGCGTACTCCATTGCAGTTTTATATAACATACTCAATGTGAGAAGCATATGTATGTTGTGTATTAGGATGAGAGGACACAGTGAGCAGTTGTATGTGAATGTGTTTGCAGTTCTACATACACATTTTGCCCACACAGACCGCTTTACTATATATTATGCAACTATTCATCTTATATATATATTATGCAACTATTCTTCTTTTTCTTTAAACTATGAAAGATCATTGTGCCAAGCTTGTCTTTTGCTGTTAGAAGTTTTGTGCATCTTATGAATGCTCATTTGGTGAATTTGATTAGGCAAGCGAAAGATGTGGTCAAAGCAGTGAAGAAACGCCTTCAACATAAAAGTCCAAAGGTTCACTTTCTTGCATTGACGGTATGTTGTTACATTCAGGCGTACTTTTCCCAGTTTTCATTTGCATGTAGAGTGGCTAAGAAAGGATACCACACTGATATTGGAATCAGTTGGCTTGTAGTTGTTTTTGGTCCGATGAAGAATTCTTAGGCATTATTGCTAATTTACTCTGCCTAGCATTTGATGTTCTTGAGGCTTCTCCTTTTTTTCTCATTGTAAAAGTACATTGAATATTGTATTTGTTGAAGTATGTAGAAGTTTTAATTGGGGTTGCAACCTATTCTTCTTTCAATAAAGTTCTGTATTCCTTGCAGCTTCTAGAGACAATGATAAAGAACTGTGGTGACCATGTGCATTTTCAAATTGTTGACCGTGGTATCCTACAAGAAATGATTAAAATTGTTAGGAAAAAGGTTTGTTTTCATTTTCTAAGTTTATTTACCATCATGAAAGCAATAATAATGTATGATTCTTAAATCTGTCTGCCCTTTTTATATTAATGAAATAGACTTTTGGTATTTTCTATTTTTGTGACTTGTATGCGAGGTATTTATTCAAGGATAATAAGTACTGTCATAAGAAAATATTAATGCTAGATAGCTGTCTTGTTGTGCCTTTTTGGGTATTGTTTTGGCCTTTTAAGAAGTTTGGACTATGGGAGTCCATTACCTTGTAACCATAAACGATAGTTGTACTAAGGATATTATTCTATACACTTACTATGTATTTAGCCTAGAAAATTCTATGAAGCTCCTATAGCAAATAACGCAAATTACTTTTTTTGCTTCATGCAAATTTTTGCTTTTCATTTTTAAATATGCCAGATGTGATTTTTTGTGAAGACCAGTTGCTTCTCAAAAAGACCAATACAAAAATCTCATCAGTTTGCTGAAATTTCCAAATTAATGGCAGCTCGGAACATGACGTCGGGGGTTGACTTCTATACAAAAGTGTGAGGCAGTTCTTATACGTAAGATATCGTAAATAAGATGATGGGACAGCAGATTTATATTTTTGAGATTGAGATGTGCTAGAGAAAGATGAAGGGGACTGATCAAGTGAATAAAAGAAACAATTAAAGAAGAAGATAGAGTGGTTGTGATAAGGATTAGGAAGGAGATGTAGGTGACTGTAACAGGAAGGATAAGTTGCATAAAGGAAAAAGTGGTTTGAGGAACGGATGAAATTCTTAGACAGGAAGTGTGATTGAATTAAAGGCCAGAGAACTTACACCTAATTATCATCCTAGTAAAATTACACAAGTGAAAAGTCTTTGCTGAAATTTCCACTAAATAAGGGTTACACATCTCTTTTAGAAATCAAAGTTTAGCGGTGAAAAGTAAACTCATTCCAAAATGTTTTTTATGTTAGCAGTTTTAGCCTGTGTTATTGTTAACTTAATTATAGATAAACTTTTCTGTTATCTCTTTGTTCTATCTTTTTAGGTTCTTTTCTTTCTTTATAAATGTGCTATATGACTTTCTTTCTTCTTTGTTCATGAAAATTACTTTAAACATTCCTGCAGACTGACATGCAAGTGAGGGACAAAATTCTGGTACTGCTGGACTCTTGGCAAGAAGCCTTTGGAGGGCCTGGAGGAAAATATCCACAGTACTACTGGGCGTACACTGAATTAAAGGTATATAAGTTGGAAGGTCTCACTAGATTTTGGTTTCTTTTTCGGTCTTGGAAAATCTGTATCTGACAATTTCTGCCTTCATTTAAATTGTGGCTTAGTACATATTTATGTTCACTTATAGTGTCATTAAATTCTTTATTGGGGATTAAAATGCTTCTGCTGCAATATTGTGGCTGTTTAACGAGAATATGTATCTAAGATATAACCTGAGACACGTTAGTGTTTCCAGCTGACTCTGTTAACTTAAATTTACTATAATCATACCTTCTCTTCCTGCAAATGCATTGACCCAATGAGAATGAAAAAACTGGTGCTGAATCTCTAGAAGAAAAAGAGAGGAAAACCCTCCTTGGCAGGTGTGAATGATCTTTCTCTTTCTGGAATGTATTTCGTCTTGGAGTTATTCTGTGATTTCCAAGTTTTGTAGGCATGGTGTTCTCTTGCTCAACGAAGGTTTATAAGTTAGTTGCCATTGAGTCTGACATGAGTTTGCACTTTTCCCATATCTGCCATTTTTTTTATAATCATCAATACATTTCTTATTCTTCTATTACTATCTAAGTCAGTTTATCAGTTTATTTTTGAAGCATCTGTGTCGTTGCTGAAAGAATATTTTGATAGCTTGAATGTAGAGTGATAATTCTGTGATTGGTTTCTTTCTAATGTTTTTCTTGTGGTTCTCACATCAGTATTTCTTGAGATATCAATATGGACCCATAAATGCAAATGAAGTTTGAAGTTATTTTTCAATTTTATTTTTTTTGTTTCGTTTTTAAACTGGGCTGGAAATTAGGAAAAAGTGTTAAAACCTTTTTTTGGCAATTAGAAGGTCTTAGTCATAGCCTGTGATTAGCAGCTGGTAACTTTCCTTTCGATAAAGTTTTTGATCCCATCTGAGGTCCCTTTTTCTATTTTATTGATGTTGATTTATTTGGGTTCTTGAGATATTATCCACCAAATCATCATATTTGGATACAAGTCCCCTGTATCTCATTTATTTGGATGCATCTGCTTCTTTACCTTTGCAAGAGCTAGGTTGAAGACAAGGGGAAAAATGAGAAAAAAAAACTAACATCCTATTAGTTTAATTGGGTTAAGTGGATGGAAATTAACCATGTGGACTTATTTCAAAGAACTTAATAGTTTCAGGGGATTTGTATCCAAATATGATGATGTAGGAAATTTAGATCCGAATAGATGAGATTTAGGGGCATCATATCTAAATATGATGACTTGGTGCACTTGTATCCTAATAGCTGAGATTTCGGGGACACTCTTTGTTCTAAAGTGACATATTAAAGTTAGTGTTATGTTTAGGATACTTAAATAAAGATACACATTTATTAAAAAATTTAAATGATTATTTGATGTAGTTAAAAAGAACTACCTTGATAGTGTAAACTTCCACAATTGAAATTACCGATAAATGCAATGTTTTTCAACAGGATACAAGCAAAGAAACCCTAAGTTTTCTTTTAGACTCACAAGAAAGGCATGCACTTGCGCACACTAAACTCGTACGACGCATCTGTTACACACTAAACTCTTATGATACATCTGGTTTGTATCATAACCTTTCCCTTATGTGTTGGATTTATAACATATATACCATATACGACATCTTTAATATATCCAATATATCATAAGTCATAACATTTAATTAAAGATTGAAGAAAAAAAATAGAAGCAAGAAAACATACAATTAAGGGCACCCTAAGTTTTCTTTTAGACTCACAAGAAAGGCATGCACTTGCGCACACTAAACTCGTACGACGCATCTGATACACACTAAATGCAATGTTTTTTCAACAGGATACAAGCAAAGACACCCTAAGTTTTCTTTTAGACTCACAAGAAAGGCATGCACTTGCGCACACTAAACTCGTACGACGCATCTGTTACACACTAAACTCTTATGATACATCTGGTTTGTATCATAACCTTTCCCTTATGTGTTGGATTTATAACATATATACCATATACGACATCTTTAATATATCCAATATATCATAAGTCATAACATTTAATTAAAGATTGAAGAAAAAAAATAGAAGCAAGAAAACATACAATTAAGGGCATGTTTGGCTAATACTTATTTCTTAAATCCTTATTAGTAACTTATTACTTTATTTTTGCTTTTTTATTGGAGGGCAAAGTAGTCTTTTACTATAAATAAGTAAATCCACCAAAAAATTAGTTGGGATTTCCCAACTTATTTTTTGTCTACTTATAAGTAAAAAAAAAGTAAGTAACATTTACCAGACACGATTTTGGATCCTTATAAGGTAAAACTCACTTAAAGTTAAAATAAGTAACTTGTCAAATTTGCACTGACTAAGAAAACCAGATGACCTTATTTTATATTTAGCTGTGAGCAGCTTGTAGCTCTCATTATATTTTAGCAAGGTTATCGATAGCGGATAGCGTCGCGTAGCGGTGAGGCATCGCTAAGGTTATTTCGGGTTATTGCGGCAAAATAACGGTAAAAAGCGCAAAGTCAAATAGCGGCCTAATTTAGATATGTATAAATACTAAAAAGAAAAATTAAAGAAAAATCTAAGAAATCTAAAAGTACGTATTGGATGATTTAAAGAGATCCTAAGCATGAAATAGACATGTAACCATCACGTAATACCGAAGATGACTGGAGGAGTCAAAAAGTCGTCGTCTTCGAGAAGAAGAGCTTAGCGGTGACAGGACTGCCCTAAGAGGAGCTCACGGTGAAGGAGGTGAGATGAAGTATCAAGGTAGGTGTCAGAGGCTATGAGAGATGACGGGAGTATGCTGAAAATCACAGGAGACGGTGGAATGCAATGGTCAAGGGTTGAGTTTAATTTAAAAAAAAAAAAGCCTCAAGCCGCTTTTAAATAGCAGTCAAAAAGCAAATTTCGAATGCAATCGCTCATTATTTACCGTTATGACACACTATTGATCGCTTTTACGAACAGACATATTCCGCAATGTCACTGCTATTGCACGATAGCGTAGCGGGCGATAGCGTAGCGGGAAAGGACCGCTAACGCTATTAGCGCCGCTATTGCGGGGCTATTTACCGCTATTTATAACAGTGTATTTTAGAACATCAAAATCTGCTCAATGATGGTCTCTATGGCGTATCGACTTTAAGGTTTCTATGGCTTGACCCATTTTGATGTAAAAGGGCTTACATGATCCTTTAATAATAATGGTAAGGTATTGTATGATGTCGAAGACTATCCTGCTGAGCTTGTGTATGGTCTTATTTTATATTTAGTTGTGGGCAGCTTGCACCACTCATTATATTTTAGAACATCAAAAGCTGCTCAATGATGGTCTCCATGGCGTATCGACTTTAAGGTCTCTATGGCTTGAGCCATTTTGATGTAAAACGGCTTGCATGATCCTTTGATAATAATAGTAAGGTATTGTATGATATTAACGACTATCCTGCTGAGCTTGTGGATGGTCTTATTTTATATTTAGCTGTTGGCAGCTTGTAGCTCTCATTATACTTTAGAACATCAAAAGCTGCTCAATGATGGTCTCCATGGCGTATCGACTTTAAGGTATCTATGGCTTGACCCATTTTGATGTAAAACGGCTTACATGATCCTTTGATAATTATGCAAGGTATTGTATGATATTGACGACTATCCTGCTGAGCTTGTGTTGCCTTTGTATTTAATTCTGAGATTAGGAACAAGGAAAAATAGTACTTATAGATAATGAAGGCTGCAGGCTACATAAGTCTAAATAGTAGGCTGCCACAACTTAATATAAAATAAGACCATCTGTCATCAAGTTGCATGATTTGGTACGCAAATGCTTGAAATGATCACTGTTACTGGATTGAAGTTTAGTGGGTTTCCATCATCGAGCAGCTTTTTGATGTTCTAAATCTTTCTGATATAAGGGAGGGAGGTGCGTTAAGGGAGACTGGAGGGTCTTTCAGCTTCGGGACTTGCTGAGAATCCTCATCCTTTGGATTTGAATAATTTTTGATGCAGTGCTAGGAAATATATATCTTCTATGCCTACTCCTATTGCAGTTCTTGATTTTATTGGTTTCTGAAAATGCTCTTTTAAAATAGGATAAATTATAAAATGACAAAAGAAAAAAAAATCCAATGCCATGATTTTAACATTTTCTAATAGCAAATATTGTTGCATGCCTGTCTACAGAGTCCATCTATGATCCATTTGCTGGGGTCAGCATTCCATATCCTAATTCGCCAACCATTCTTGTTTAGGTTAATGTAATAAGCTGAGTTCAATATGAGCTGACAAGTGCATGCAGCACAGATCTGGCTCACAGTGGAATCTGTTGGGTCTAAATCTTGTTGCCAATTATATAAGAAATCGGTGGAAGTTGGTCTAATCATGTAGAGAGGAGTGTAAGAACTGTACACAGAGGAGAAAAGCTTTATTAAGAAATCAAGGAACAAAAGCTGTAATAGAAAATGATGAAATGATAGAATGATAGGAACAGACTATTTTGGTTGTGGATATCCCAAAGCTATTGCTGGTCAAGACTCCTGAAAATTATTTGTTTATGCTTGACTTTTTTTGTTTATATTCTAATATTTTCCAGCAATTCTGTCTTTTCTTAGTGATGGGTTAGATGGAGAATTCGCAACTGGGTGTTCCAGGCTATTTAGATGCCTTACTAATTCATAGTGATTAAGGAATCATTTAGTTTTGATACATTTTATATCTGTTGAGATTGTTCCTTTTTTGGTCGATTTACTTAGAAAATCTGAGGAACTTGTGGTATCAAATGTTTTGTTGGCTCATGGAGTATATTTTTATCATTTTCAGAGATCTGGAGTGGAATTCCCACAGCGTTCCCCAGATTCTGCTCTAATATTTACTACTCCTGTCACACATCCAGCTGCACCATCCAGATATCCTCAAATAGGTTATGGTATGCCTAGCAACTCTTCTGTGAGACTTGATGAAGCAATGGCATCAGAGATGGCCAATCTGAGGTGGTCATTTATTTCTCATGTTTTTATTTTTCCCACTTTGATTACACTACTGTAGTCATCTCAGTTAATGTCTTAGTTCTCCTGGGTGTTCAGATTCATTTCAAAAATTCTTAGTCCCTTGTCTGACTATACATGATTCCTATTTCAGTTTGACAGACTTGGATAGATATCGTAGTGTCATGGAGCTGTTAAGTGATATGCTCAAAGCTGTGAAACCAGTTGATCGTGAGGTATACATTTTAATAAATCTTATCCATTCTTTGGCATGGTGTATATAATTAATGTAGACTAGCTGACATTGTAGATAATGGGAATCTATGTTTAATGAAAACAAAATTAGCTATTCTTATATGTTCTTGTTTTTTGTAGGCTGTTAAGGATGAAGTGATTGTTGATCTTGTCTCTCAATGTCGTACTAACCAAAAGAAGCTCATGGAATTAGTAAATTCAACTGGGTATGTCTTTACAATTGCCTGAGTGTCTATTACTTCGCAGCATGGCATGATGTGCAAGTAGTTTATCTATCAATTGCAGCACTGTTCTTCACTTTTGATATCTGCCTGTTCTCCTTGGATTTTACGAAGTTTATAATGCATATTGCATTGTTGTTTGTAATCCATGTTTTGAAATTTACTATTTGCATGAGTAACCTTTGTCTCTATGTCGCAAACTTTGGCAGGGATGAAGAACTCCTAGGACAAGGCCTTGCATTAAATGATGACTTACAAAGTCTCCTTGCTAAACACGATGCAATAGCCTCTGGTTCTCCCCTACCGCCTGAAACATCTGAATCTATTTCGCAACCAAACACTCCTGTGGCACCAACTCCTGCAGCGTTAAACCCATACGAAGAGGAAGAGGAAGAAGATGACGATTTTGCTCAATTAGCTCGCAGGTTTTACAGCGAAATGCAATCTACTTGCTTAACTTGGTTAACATTCTTTTTCATATGGTTGAAGATATTTAATACCTTGGGCAGGAAATCAAAGTATAAGACAGAAACTGAAGCCAGTTCAGAAACAAATGGGCAAGTCACCTCGCCAAACCAGAGTGAAACAGGAAGCACATCAGAAGCGTCATCCTCTGTGGCAAGCAACGCATTGACTCTGCCTGATCCACCGGCCCCTGTCCGAACTTCCAATAAAGAACAAGACATGATTGATCTCCTGAGCATCACGCTATCATCTTACCCTTCACCTCCTCGAACACCTCTCACTCCTCCCTCTGCTTCATTCCAAAATAGCTCCCCCGTTTCTGTTCCCTCCAATGCACCTGGAAGTCCTTATAATCCCCAGAAGCCTTACGTGATGAACCAAGGTTACGTTCCATATAATAGCTATGTTGCTCCATGGGCCCAGTCCCAAGCCCATCCCCAACTGCAGCCTCAAGCTCAGGCCCAACTGCAGCCTCAAGCCCAAGCCCAGATGCCCCAGATTCCTTCTAGCTATGTGCCTCCACCATGGGAGGCTACATCCACCACCAACCCCAATCCTTTTGTAACGTCAACAAATCAGTTCCCTGTATCTGGAGTCAATACTTCTGCTGCTTACGCACCAACTTATGCTACTCAGCCCCAGCAACAGTATTATAATTCAGTAGGCACCAGAGGTCATAATTTTCCAGCTCCAGCTGCTGCTACCCAGGGGAATGCCAACATTAGGCAAACTGGATATGGTGCTTCTCCTAAACCTTATGTTTCACCTAACAAACTATTTGAGGATCTTATAGAGTTGAGAAATACCGATAGAAGTTTGAAGCCAAGCAACACATCTCCGACACTGTCAGGTTCACCACGCCAAGGTATGAATGGTGGAAGGAAATAAAAATACAAGTGTCGATACTATTAAACTGCTAATTAGTAGTGAAAGTCGCCTGCAATTTGATTTAAGATTTGTGAATGCTCTTGCGTATGATGAGGTACTAGAGTACATTTATCAAATTGTGTTCTCGCCCTTCTTGCAGTTGGCCTTAAGCAGAGACATATTTGTATATAAAGTTTCTGCATACTGAGATCTGTGCATAATAATTAGTCAGGCTTCTGAAAGTTATTTTGATAATGGAGTAGACATGGCCTTTTCTCCTTCAATGTACAGTTTGGAACTTTTTATTGTACTGCATTTCGGTGTGATGTCTCTGGACATTACGACATACCGAAGATCAAGAAATATCTCATAATTCCATATTATAGACCTTGAGTTTTTGACATTGTTCTCGGAAGGTCATTCTAACAGAGAGTGTTGGGAGATAGTTTGATGCATTTTATACGCCTGGAAAGTTTCGAAAATATTCACATACATAGTTACTGGGAGCATCTGTTCTTCTGCATTTCCCTGTTGTGGTACTTCGGAACATGATGGAGTCGCGTACATCGCACAAAGAGAGTGAATTACTTGGTACATCGCACATATAATTAAGTCTTCCATTTCAACTGAAGGATAGCGATGATGTATAACACAAAAATCGCATAGAATGGCTCAAGTATGCAATAAAGATGTGAAATCATGTCACGCGTCTTCACTTACTCCTGCACATACAGATATGAGATCATTTTGTCGTTACTTATTTCTCACATGCAGATAACAGATGCATTCCTTACAATCACTTACTACTCTCATACTGAACTCCCTCATCCTCCCTTCTCTGATACTTAAAACCTCCAAGCACAAACACAAAAAGAACAATTTTTCAAAACAACCCCTTTCAAATTTTTATTTTTCAAAATCGACCCTGTTTTTTTTTATTTATCAAAACCGACCCGTTTTTTTGATTAGCAGCCTAATCACATTTCTAAATAGTCAGGGTTGTCAATCCCGACTATTTAGGACTTAAATTTGTATGGTTTAAGGCTTCTAATTAGGGTTTAACACCCTCCTAAATAGTCGGGGTTGACAACCCCGACTATTTAGGAATGTGATTAGGCTGCTAATCAAAAAAACAGGTCGGTTTTGGTAAATAAAAAAAACAGGGTCGATTTTAAAAAATAAAAATTTAAAAGGGGCTGTTTTAAAAAATTGTTCACACAAAAGTACCCAAAATTAACCCCTTCCACAAACCACCACATCTCTCTTCATTTTGGAGTTTTAACGGAACGCTAGGATCTATGCTTCACAGTTTACCTTAAGGGGCTGTTTGATTCGTTTCCTAGATATAGGGAAATGCATTTCCATGCACAGAAACACAAGTTTTGAGTTTTTCAAACTTTTCTAAGAAATAGATTGTTTCGCTTTGGTTCGCACATAAAAAATGGTGGGAAACCAATTTATTTACTTTTCTTGTGTTTGGTTCGTATGGAAAAAAAGGGAAAACATTTGTTGATATGATATTTCCTACTTTTCTTGTGTTTGGTTGGTTTTGAAGTTTGTAGTGAAAAGTGTTTATTGTCACCATGGTAAGATTACCCCCACTATATACAATTTTTTTTGTGCTCGTAATATGAGGTATTCTTAATCATATAAAAGTTCGAATGTTCCTGTTTTAGATTGAAAAAATCACACGAATCCTGTAATAACCTGATTATTCATAAATTTATGTAGTACATACCCGAATTACCCAACCAGTCAATCAAACCAAGTCACCAATGCGTTATTATAAGCAAGTGAAATAACAGCAGATGTAACAAAAACAACACAAGAAGGGAGGGGTAGCATCCTCACAACCAGAAATCCCCCAAACAAGCACAAAAGCATCAGTTACCCAACAATGAACATGATACACCAACCAGCCAACCAAAATCCCCCAAACAAGCACAAAAGCATCAGTTACCCAACAATGAACATGATACACCAACCAGCCAACCAAAAAAGAACCACGAAACACCATCACAGCCACCAAAAATGAACTAGGAAACACCATCCAGCCACACATAATGAACCAGGAAACACATAATGTACAAACAATGATATGTTAACTTAGAAAATATCCTGAAATGTAAATTTTGAAGTGCTAATAGCACAATATAACACGTAAGTAAAAAAATCAATATAACACATAGTGTATTAAACTGAAGGGAGCATGATAAGTGAATATTAACGGAACAATAAAAGCTAAGACTCGCAATCAGTATATTAACGGAAGATCAACCACAATTCCGAGCAAATTAACATTTTCCTCTCGCCAAGCATAGCAGTGTTCTCACAACGGCATCTCACAGTTCTAGCAGCTGGGTCGCATGAAAGCACGGTAAGGGTTATGGTTCCAACAGCACATAGAATGAAGTTTCCCGGCTTTAAGTCAACAGGGAGTTTCTTGTAACTCATGGTAATTGTTTTCCCATCGCCCTTGAGGTCGTAATCAGTGCTCACTGTGATTTCTTCACCCTTCTTTAGTTGTACAGGCTTGCCATCCTTTAGGAAGCCTGTGCGTATCTCAGGTCCCTGTGATACGTAAAGAACATGCTTCAGACATTAATAAGGAATATAGTTGTTATAACAACAAAAATATAATCCTGGTAGAATCTATATACAGCTTGATCTCCTAATTTGCAGGTTTCGTGTTTCTTGGATGATGTCAGATGTCCTGTTCTCCACAATTGTCGGACCCAACTAAAGAAGTGAAAAAGAAACAAAATTAATGGAAGGAACCATTTTGAATGGAAATCTACGGTAAAATAATAGATTGAAAACAATACAGTATTTATCCTTTACAAGCTTAAAAGATTACATACTGCAGGTTGCTAATCTCAAATATTGCAGGTTGCTAATCTCAGATATTATCATTGTTAGCCATCCAATACAATATCATCATTGTTAGCCATCCAATACAATATCAACAGTTATTGCAGGTTGCTAATCTCAGATATTATGACAATCATCATAGTGTAAAATTCTAAAGGTCACCAATGTAAACTCGTTTGAAAACTTAGCTCACAAAATACACCAACACAACCAGGCTCACAACCAGAAATCCCCCAAACAAGCACAAAAGCATCAGTTACCCAACAATGAACATGATGCACCAACCATCCAACCAAAAAAGAACCATGATACACCAACCAGGCACGAAAAAGGAACCAGGAAACACCATCGAGCCACATAAAATGAACCAGGAAACACACATAATGTACAAACAATGATATATTAACTTAGAAAATATCCTGGTTGCTAATCTCACTAAGAAAATTAGTGAAATGGGCTCAAAATCTAGTCAATATCATCATTGTTAGCCATCCAGTGCAATATCAATTGATATTGCAGGTTGCTAATCTCAGAAATTTTGACAATCATCATAGCCTGCCTAAAGTAAATAGTCACCAATGTAGACTCGTTTCATGAAAACTTACTACACAAAATACCCAGAGCAATAGCCATCCATTACAATGTGTGCACATTGTAGGTTGTTTACATCTTAGGAAATTATATGGTGACTTTTAAATATCCTGCAGGCATAAGAATAATATTTTTCTCAAAATCTGATGCAAGACCCCTGAAAACTGAACTGAACCAATCCATGCAAGACTTTCTAGCAGTTACAGACATGCTAAAGGAGATGTTACCAGCATACTCTTGTTCAAATTCATCCATGCAAGACTGAGTACAGGAACTAACAGAAGTCGCAAATAATTTACCACTTTTTAGCGACTGCTATATATACTTTTACTTACAAAAATGAGTTTAAATCGTCGACTTACTTTAAATGACCGCATAAGAGACGCTATATATACTTTTACTTACAAAAATGAGTTTAAATCGTCGACTTACTTTAAATGACCGCATAAGAGAGTCAACCATGGCTCATCCTTCAGGTATTCGGTTTAAATCGTCGACTTACTTTAAATGACCGCATAAGAGAGTCAACCATGGCTCATCCTTCAGGTATTCGTCCAATTTTGAGACAATTTCTTTTACTGTAAGACCACATAACAAAACAAAATTAATTATAAAGGTAAAATATTGAAGTAGTTAATCCGTGATATGACATTCATTTACAAGATATCAAAAGACTCAGAATTTTCACGCAGTTTGCTTGATTTTCCTATCAAGAATTTCCCAATCATGCAACCATCACGGCAAGTGCTCACAAGTCATAACCAAACAAAACACAAACATAAATGGCATTATATATAGTTAATAACTTAATATTCTAGTAACTGTATTAGGGAATTGCAACTTTGCTTGAGTAATATTATTTTTTACTTGAAAGTGGTAAAAGGATTTAAAGTTCACCTGTTTTAATGCGCAAAGAAATATATGATGACATATTAATAATTACATCATGAAAATGAATCGAAATTAAAAGGGGAATAGGGGTTCTGCTTTGGTACCTGAAATCTAAACGAAGGAACTAATTTGTGCATGAAAGGACTGCTTCTTTAAAGTTGTCAGTTTCTCATGAATTTCATAATTTTAATAAGGAAGAAATCTAAGAAAGGAAAGCAAAAGGGATCTCCATACCTATACAAAACAGAGAAATGCAACCTCCAAACAACCAGTATCCACAAAATCTGAACAGGCTCACAACCAGGCTCCACAACCAAGCTCACAACCAGCAATATAAAACCAAGCTCACAATCAGCAAACCAAACCACAACAGGTTCACAAGATACACCCACCAGCATCCTCCAAACAAGCACAAAAGCAACCAAAAACCCAATAATGAACATGATACACCAACCACGAATATAAAACCAGCCACACAAAAATGTAAATAGATTATACACCAACCAGTCACACAAAATGAACCAGGAAACACCATCGCGCACCAACAATGAATAGGAAACATATAAAATTTCCTGGTTGCTATACTCACTTAGAAATTAGTGAATTGGGCTCAGAATCTAGTCAATATCATCATTGTTAGCCATCCAGTGCAATATCAAGTGATATTGCAGGTTCAATATCATCATTGTTAGCCATCCAGTGCAATATCAAGTGATATTGCAGGTTGCTAATCTCAGAAATTTTGACAATCATCATAGCCTAAAGTAAATAGTCACCAATGTGTTATTATAAGCAAGTGAAATAACATCATATGTAACAAAAAATAACATCATGAAGAGATTGGTGAAATCCTCACAACCAGGCTCACAAACAAGATCCACAAAAAACAACAGTTAGAGAAAAAGGCATGG